GGATGTGCCCGCAACCAAGGTACATGGCCATGACTGGAATCAAACCTGGGACCCCTCAGTCCGCAGGTCGACGATCTATCCACTGAGCCAAACTGGCCAGGGCTAGGATCACCGGCTTTAACGCTTGACATGAACTTTTAGAGATTTCATGGCATCTAAGCTCCTTGTTTAAGAGTGAGAACTCCGCTCTAGCTGGTTTGGCCCAGTGGATAGAGCGTCGGCCTGCGGACGGAAGGGTCCCGGGTTCGATTCTGGTCAGGGGTACCTGCCCGGGTTGTGGGCTCAATCCCCAGTGTGGGGCATGCAGGAGGCATGCATGACTCTCTCTCATCAGCCCCCCCCAGTAGAGGGCTTACAGGAGGCAGCCAATCAATAATTCTCTCTCATCATTGATGTTTCTGTCTCTCTATCCCTCTCCCTTCCTCTCTGAAATCAATAAAAATATTTTAAAAAAGAAAAAGAAAAAAAGAGTGAGAACTCCCAGATCCAGAGAACTTAAGTGGCCTGGCTGGTGTGGCCCAGCTCCTGGCAGGAGCCCCCCCTCTGTACACAGGCTCAGCCTTCACCGTCCCCAGCCTTGCCCTCCAGGGCAGGGCCGGCCTGGCACCTGCACCCCCTTCACCCCTGTCCAGTGGCGTGTGAGAGGCTCAAGGACCGTGCAGGCCACACGCATGTGGACGTGAGCAGGAACAATGGGGCTCCCTCCAGGGGGTGTCTCCTGGACACTCGACCCTCCCTCGCTTCGCTGGGTGCGCACAGGAGAGCTTGCCTCTCTGCACCCCACTTAGACCTGCCGGGGTGCAACGGCCCCAGCCTGTACTTGTCCCCTGGCAGGACCTGGGGGGATGGGAGCGGGGGATGGCAAGGAGCAGCCCCACAGAGCTGGGGGCCAGAGGCAGAGAACCGGCTGGTGCTGGGTGAACCTGAGCTAGACTCACCCCCTTGCCCTTGGGCGACAAGGAGGGTGGGGGGGAATAGATTAGACACGTGTGAGGAGGCGGGAAGGGGCACTTTAACCTCCTATAGGGCTCCTGTAACCAGAATACGGTTTCCTTGTCCCTCACTTCTTCCCTTTCCCCCATATTCATGCATCCCCCGGGGCGGGGATGGTGTGGCTGGCTGAGCTTGGTGACGGTGATTTCCAGCAAGGACTTTGGGGGTCTGACCTCCTGAGTTTTATGTTTGTTTGTTTTAAATATATTTTTATTGATTTCAGAGCGGAAGGGAGAAGGAGAGAGAGAGAAACATCAATGATGAGAGAGAATCATGGATCGGCTGCCTCCTGCACGCCCCCTACTGGGGATTGAGCCTGAAACCCAGGTTTGTGCCCTGACCAGGAATCGAACCAGCCATACAAGGGGCAACGATCAACCCACTGGGCCACACCAGCCAGGGCTCTCCTTCCCTTTCCTACCATTTGGCCATGGCGACCACACCGTCCAATCGTCAGCAAGTAGCTACACCCGCCCTTTCGCGGAGTCAGCTGCTTAGTATTCCATTCTGTGCAATCAGAGATTCCATTCCAGATTCACTGGCACCGAAGATGAAGCCGCTAATTAGATACAGTAATTGCATTTAAAATCCGTGTCTTCAAATGACGGATGGAATCTTCTGTTTTTAATTCTCCTGAGACTCCGTGTGCCCAGCACCTGCTGTGCTGAAGGGCGGTAGATGTTTAGTCTTATCATGTGGGCTCCCTCTTCCACCCCAGGCCTTGCCTTGACTTCGGTCTGTGCATGAAAAGAATACCTTTGGCCCGGCCGGTGTGGCCTAATGCTTGGGCGTTGACCTAGGAACCAGGAGGTCACAGTTCGATTCCTGGTCAGGGCACGTGCCTGGGTTGCGGGCTCGATCCCCAGTGCGGGGCGTGCAGGAGGCAGGCGCCCCATGATTCTCTCTCATCATCGATGTTTCTCTCTCTCTCTCCCCTTCTCCCTTCCTCTCTGGAATCAATAAAAATATATTAAGTAAGGAAATAAGTGCTACAGAAACCCAAATTGCTTCTGAAAATGCTACACAGTAAGACATTTCTCCAAAGGGCCTCGGTCTCTTCAGTATTTTACAGGAATTCCGACTCAGGCAGCTTTACGCAGCCATTACCAGTTAATTACCAATATCAATCTCCCTGCAGCTTCCATAACTTCATTTGCAAACGGAGAGGCAGGCTCCCTCAATCATCGCCTCCTTGTCTCTCACCCCCAGTCGTCCTGTCTGAGCTGCGAGGCACTGGCAGCAGCTGTGGCCTGCGTGGTGGCGTCCTGGTGGCCCCGGGCCACTCCAGGCCAGTGAGCACCTGGTCCCCGCTCAGGCCCAGGAACCCCTCCCAGCCCCGGTGGGGGCGGATGCGGGGCAGAAACCCAGCTCCTCTGCCTGTAGGTTCCCACACCACAGGGAGAGTTTTCATGAGCTCGGGCCAAGTTTCGGGCACGTAATGAAAACTGAACCCTGGTTTGGGGTTTCCTCCCCAAATTCACACAGAGCTAGGCATGGTGAGACGTGTGAGGTGGCGAGGACAAGGGCAGGCAGTGCCCGGGCCCAGGGGGGCACAAGGTGCTGTGTGTATTTCTGGCTCGGCCACCCAACTTGTGTGGTCTGAGGCCGGTCCCCTCCCTGCACCCCACTCAGTGAGCTTTGCCTAGTACCCAGGGAGATTTGTAATGTATTTTTATTGATTTCAGAGAGGAACGAAGAGGGAGAGAGGGATAGAAACATCAATGATGAGAGAGAATCATTGATTGGCTGCCTCCCGCACGTCCACCTCTGGGAGATCGAGCCCGAAACCCAGGCCTGTGCCCTGACCGGGAATCGAACCGTGACCTCCTGGTTCCTAGGTCGACCCTCAACCTCTGAGCCACGCCGGTCGGGCTCGAGCAACTTTTGATTTCAGGCACATTTATGTGCAATTTGACTTTCAACTCATGGAAAAGGGCGCCTGCCTGTTCTAGAAGATTCATCTAAGTGACCTCCCAGGTCCTTCCCAACTTGGAGGTTCTGTGAGTCTATGAAATGCCCTGGTGCAGGAGACCAAACCCAGGCTTTGCAGTCAGAAAGAGCTGGTCCCAGGTCCCAGCTCTCACATTGCCTAGCTGTGTGGCGTTGGGCAACCTACTCAACCTCTCTGAGCCAAGGTTCCTCATCTGAAACACTGGACTGCTGCCAACCCCCAAGTAGTTGCCACGAAGATTAAATAAGAAAGTGCTTCTAAAACACGTCGGGTGTATTCATCCATCCCGGCGTAAAGATTAGATCCTGCTTTTCGTGAGTCACCCAAGCGTCCAGTGGATCAGCACTACGGGCCATACTGTGTTTGAGTATTGCTTCTTCTCTCCCTGCATCCGAAAAAACAACAACAAAGGAGCAAATACTAGTAATAGCTCTCCAGCATCACCCGGGCACGGGAATGGAGTTTCCATTCAAAAACTAGGTTCTTCATCATTCATTGCTATCGGAACGGAACATAAAAACAGGGCCCAGTGCTGACGACCCAGCTCCGGACAACCATCATGCTCCAATGGCTAGATTCTGACTACTTCCTGGTAGTGTCTCCATAACACCCCCGTTAGGAGGCTGGCGCGCCGCAGGCCACAGGACTGTAAGACACCCCTGAGTAAGGGCCCGGGAATGACTTCTTGCTCCGCTTCCGTTCCACTCCAGGTCCTGCATTTCTGGGGGGTTAGTTCACTGCCTGGGTGGCCTGCAGCCCTTATGCCTCATTCTAGCATTCTGGGCCAGCCATCACCACCCCCATGCAAGCCTTCCTTTCGTGCCCAGCGGGGTGAGTAACACCATGAACTCCCGGGCTGAGGTTTGGGATTACGTCAAAGCCGGCACCCACCGCGCTGGCAGTCAGAACGCCCGAGTAAGTGTTCGCAGGCCTGGTTTTCCTGCCAGACTTGTGGTTGCCCTAATAAACAATCCTGGAGAGATTTCCCCCCTCCCCGCCCCCTGGAGATTCCATTTCACCAGGAGGGTGGATTTCAGAAGGGAAGCGAAGGGCTCCCGCCCCCAGATGCCTTGGAAACGGATGGGCCTGGGACGGCTCAGACCCTGTGTCCAGCGGGGACGGACAGGAGGAGACCGCTGTGCAGGGCGGTTTCCACGAGCTCCTCTGTGGGCAGGTCTCTATGGGGGAAAGCGTCGCAGGGTGCTGGATAAGGGGACAGGACGGGCGCCCCTGGGCCTGTGCCAGCGCTGGTCCCAGCCCAAGGCCACCTGCCTGCACAGTGGATGCCATCTGCCATCTGGTGGCTCTGGGCTGACATTGCGTGCGTCATCCCTGCTTTTACCCTATTAACATATTTTTTTAAATATATATATATTTTTGCATATTATCTCTTTATTATATAGGAATAAAAATATATTTTTTTATTGATTTCAGAGAGGAAGGGAGAGGGAGAAAGAAATGGAAACATCCATGATGAGAGAGAATCATGGATCGGCTGCCTCCTGCACGCCCCACACTGGGGATCAAGCCCGCAACCCGGGCATGTGCCCTGACCGGGAATCGAACCGTGACCTCCTGGTTCCTAAGTCAACACTCAACCACTGAGCCACGCCAGCTGGGCTTAATATTATATTTTTAAATGGAGGTAAAGTTCACCCTCAGTGCAATGCATAGATCTTAAGGGTTCAATCAAAAGAGTTTTGACAAATGTGAAACCAACACCCTATTCGAGATAGACTGTTTCCATCCCCCCGGAAAGTTCCCTGGGCCCTGTCTCAGTCAATCTCCAGTTTAGAGGCAACGGCTGCCTTCATTTCTTTCTGCAGATGACTGTTGTTTGTTATTCAATTTCATGTAAATAGAATCATGCAGTACTGTCAACTTTGGTGTCCCTGGCTTTTTTGTTCAACGCAATGTCTTTGAGATTTATGCATGTTGCATAAATCTATGGGTTAGTCATTCATTTATGGGTTAGTCATTCATTCTCTCTCATTCCTAAATAGCAATATTATATGAACACATCACAATTTGTTTATCCATTCTAATTTGTTACAAGCTCTTGGTTATAGGGAGTAATATAAAAAACATCCTTGTACAAACATTTTTGTTGGCATATATTTTTATTTACTTTAGAGGCAAACACCTAGGGGGTGGAAATGCCGAATCACAAAGTAGGTATATTTTGACTTTCTTAGAAACAGCTTTCCAAAGCGATTGGACCATTTACACGCCCCCGCCCCCCCGAAATGTGTGGGAGTTCCGATCGCCCCATATCCGTGGCCCTTGTCATTTGGTGTTTTCAATCTTTTAAATGTTAGCCATTCTAATGGGTATAAAGTGGTATCTATGGAAGATTTAATTTGCATTTCTCTAATGACTACTGATATTGAGCACCTGATATTTGCATATCTTGATTGGTTAAGTGCTCAAGGCTGTTGCCCAGCTTGGTTAATAGATTTATGGAGAACATACTGTTGAGGGCAACTGGTATTTATGGCACATTATAAGTCGAAAGCGCCGGAACCGGTTTGGCTCAGTGGATAGAGCGTCCGCCTGGGGACTGAAGGGTCCCAGGTTCATTCCGGTCAAGGGCATGTACCTGGGTTGCGCGCACTTCCCCAGTGGGGGATGTGCAGGAGGCAGCTGATCGATGTTTCTCTCTCATCGATGTTTCTAACTCTCTATCTCTCTCCTTTCCTCTCTGTAAAAAATCAATAAAATATATTTTAAAAAAAATAAGTCGAAAGCAATGGATGTTTGCTGCCTCATTCTAAATGGAATAGAACAAGAGAACCATTTATACATTGTCACTGAAAAGTAAATGACTGGAAATATGGGAAAACCTTGCATCTATGACGTCGGGTAAGTTTAAATTTAAATAACTTGAAAAAATATATAACCTGAACTATAAAACTAAGTGACTTTAAAAATATATTTTAAAAACTTTAAATTATGCTTTATCCCTTGTGCGGATTACATGGCAAGGTCTTTGAAAGTGGGAGTATGTTTTCTCCACTGACTCCTGGGAGGTCGTTAGGGGGAGAATGCAAAGAAAGCCCACCTCACTGATCCCTTTTGTCTGGGACTGAGCCCGACATCAAACCAGCACCGTGCATGCTGCATAACATGGTTTTCTGTTTCTGCATCTAGCAGCAGGCGCTGTCAGAAATACCGAACATCCTGACACAAGGACTATTTCTGAGCTTGCACGTGGGAGCACAGTGTGTGGGTAGGTCTGCACGCTCCAGTCCGCTTGGGCATTTGACTTGCAGAGCTGGCGTGGGCATTATTCAGCCCTAGCCCTAGCCCATAGCTAGAGTGCTTTTCAGGGCTTCTCAATCATTTTTTAAAAATATATATTTATTATTTTCAGAGAGGAAGGGAGAGAGATAGAAACATCGAAGATGAGAATCAGGGATGGGGTGCCTCCTGCACGCCCCCTACTGGGGATCAAGCCCACAACCCCGGCATGTGGTTCCTGGGTCGTTGCTCAACCGCTGAGCCACACCTGGCTGGGCTCTCGAAATCATTTCCCTTCTTAATTTTCATGCAGATGTCAGCAACCCATTTCAGACCCCGCTGTGTCCGTTTCTTCGCGGGCGGCGCCAGCCTGCGCCTTCTTGGAAGATCAGCTTCCAGGTGATCGTGATGGACAACCTCACAGGCACACCTGACTGATTCCGGGCCCTCAGGCAGGACGATCTCCAAGGAGGAATCCATGGAGCTGGTGGAGATACTACACTGACGTTTTACTAAGAAACCAGGCAAACGGGGCGGGCGGGCCCAGCCTCCAGCCAGCGCTGGTGGACCGGGTTGCACACTGTGCACAGCTGGACCGGGGAGCGGTGGTAGCTCCGGGGCCA